CCATGGCAGTGGGTGGCACTGGATGATCTTGAAGGTCCCTTCCCACCCAAACCATCCTGTGATTCCATGCTGCCTGTTTTCCCAAAGTCCCCCCAAGCCAAGGGACACGGAGAGCTGCCACCCCACCAAAGCCACGATCCAAAGAAAAGCTCCCACACCGCGCTGGATCCTGCCGTCACCTCCTGCCCCTCTCGCCCTCCTCCCCCCTGTCTCCCCATCCACCTTCCTCCAGGTAATTCCAAAGGACATCGATTAAATCCCGGGCTCCCCCGCTACCTGTTTGAGGAGCTGGCAGTGAATAATGCAGGAGGCTGGAGGGGGAAGGAGCTGCTCAGGTTGTTCCATTATTGATGAGAGATGACAGATCCGCTGCTGACAACCTGCCTGAGAGAGATGATTAGCTTGTAAAAAATTAATCACGCTTCTTAAGGGATGACGCGAGCTGAAAACCCCAAGGAGCGGCGTTATCGATGTTCCCTAATTTCAGGGGACTTTGAAAAGGTTTTAGCCAAATTGGGAGGAGATAATTACATCCAATTAGAGTCACAAGTGCCGAGACGTCACCGCCACTCGGAGGTGCCTTGGTCACACATCCCCTGCTCCCCTACACCGCTGCCCATCCTCACGGCAAGACACGGGTATAAATACACATTTCTGCGTCCGACCTGCGCTTTCGCAGCGGGGATCCTCCTTCCCGACATCATCCCCTGCAGCTCGAACTCTGGTCCCCCCCATCCTGTGAAGGCAACAGCACCCAGAGCACCCTGCCTACAGCATCCCTCGGCTCCATGTTTTGCTCTCCCCAAATCCATAAAATCCCACCGATGACGAGGACAACCAAAATTGTCACTGGCACACACCCAGAGTCGGGGTTTTGGGAGCCCAGCCCTGCATCTCTCAAGGATGGGGCACATCCAAGCCCCCAGCCCTTTGGGATATGAGGGTGGGGGGGCACCAAACTGGGGCTGCTCCAGCTCAGCGGGGCTGGGAATGGTGGTGAGAGCAAGAGTGGGCTTTGCTCGGCACTTGCCCCGCATCCCTCACCTCGCTACCGGGCGACGGCTGGGCTCCCAGGGCACCGAGCGCGTGCATAATTCATACTTCCCAGCTCATGCTCGCAAGGATCTTTGCAGACCTACCCGCAGATTAAAAACCGCGACGGCGAGAGATGAAGAAACCCAAGGTCACGGCCACGTGCGGGTGGCCAGACCCTTTCCCAGTGAGCCGAGCCCCGAAACACGTGCCCAGCCTCCATGCATGACCCCGTCACCCCAACCCCAGCCTTGGCTTTGGGGACCTTGCCATTTGCAGGCAGGAGGGATACGCCTTCGCCAAGGTTTTGGCCGGACCAAGCACCCCAAGGATGGATTTGGGGTCCCCATGCCGAATAGAATGGACGGAAGCAGCTGGGTGGGTTTTTACCGGTGGTGTTTTGGCCCCACCAAGCCCCCAGCGATGGGTTTTGGGTCCCCATGCCAAATAGGATGGTCAGGAGCAGCTGGGTGGGTTTTTACCAGTGGTGTTTTGGCCCAGCCAAGTCCCCAACGATGGATTTTGGTCCCCATGCCCAGTAAGAGGGATGGGAGCGGGTGGGTGGGTTTTTGCTGGTGTTTTGGCCCCTGGCCCAAGCTCGAAATGCAACGAGCAGGATGCATGAGTCCAGCTCTTAATCTAAACATCCTCATTCCCCCACCCAAGGTGACAACTTCCCAAACATCCCCCAAAAAGCCACTGGTGGGCTGTCCCCATCTACAGCAGGGATGTGCCCAGGGGTCCCCAACTGCCAAGCCAGCACGGGGAATGTACCCCTCTGCTCCTTTCCCATCCTCTTTCTCTAAATATTTAAATATTACATTATTTAGCACGCGGTTGTCCATCTAACGAGCATCCACGGCAAATCTAGCGGCAGAGGTACACCCACCCCATCCCCTTCCGTCCCAACAGACGTACACCCACCCCATCCCTTTCGGTCCCCTACAACAAGCAGCATCTCGGCGTCGGCAGGGAGGACATCCCAGAGCTTGGAGATGCTGGAGATGGTGGGGAACGCGCCCCAAGGTGGATTGGATGCTCCTCCCCATCGGATGCAGTTCAGGAGGCTGTGGCCGTCAGGTGTAAGCTCACGAGCACCCACCACCCATTAAAAACCCACGGCAAGACCTCCTCCCACCCCACGGACCATGACCCATGTCGCTGGGACCCAACACACCCACGCGTCATACACAGAGTTGTTTGAGCATCACCTGCTTCATTTTTTTCCAGCAAATCCCACCAGACGGGGGTCAAGCCAGTGGGGAGCGGGTCCCTGCGTGCAAACAGGAGCAGCTGCCCACCCCCAGCCACATTTTGGTGTTTCTTTGCTGCCTCGTTTCTTTATGCATCTCCCAGCGTGCGAGATGTTCCCCTCGGGGAAAAGGAAATTAATTTTATCCCTTTGAATTCGGCTCACTTAGCGAGGGCTGTGGAGCGACACCGTTCCCCAAGCCCCCTCCTCTTCCCCACAGTCCCTTCATGGGGACCTGGCTGCCTCAGGGACGATAGGGATGACAATTCCCCTAAATCTTTGAAATTCAGAACCAGACACATCACTGACATCTTTCCAGGGGGAGGAGGAGGCAAGCGTGATGCTGTCTGGCATCCCCCGTGCCTCAGTTTCCCCACAGCAGCTCCAATCCCCGTGGACATCCCACGCGCAGCAGCACATCCCTTCGAAACGATGACTCACCCCTCTCCCATCCCTTCCCATCCCAAATTTCTTCCCAATCCTAGCACTTTTGTTCACTTTCCTTGGCTCATCCCTCTCCCCGTGCACTCGGACGCAGGTCTCTCAATGCGACAGCCACCAGCCTGCCTTTATTTGATCTTGGGTGCTGGATTTTTCGCCCTCCCTAAGCCCCCAGCTCCTCTCTGCCGGCTCTTAATTCCCCCACCACCTCCAGCCTGGCCCCAAAGAACTCCCACCAGCTTTTGGGCTACGTCCTGTCCCCCTTCATTAGCCAACATGCCGCAAACGAAAGCCACCGAATTATTCCCCCACCTGTGCCGCGGAGCAGCTGCTCAGCATCGGACCAAAAGTCTGCCCGACTCCGGGCTGCTGCTCCCTCCCTTCCCCAGGGATGAGCGACCTTTCCCAGCCCAATAAATAAGAAAATAACTTATTTTCTCCTTCCAACACACGATTGCTTTGAAACAGCAGAAGAAACGAGGAGGCAGCCCCGTCGGGCTGCTCGGAGGAGATATTTTTCCTCCCTTTGTGCTTCCTTGTGCTGTTCTCTGAGCCTCTCTGTTTACCCGGCTCATAAAGCCGCCTCTGTGTCACCGGCTCCGTGTCACCGGCTCCGGGCTGCACCTTTTCCCCGAAGCCCAGCCCATCCCAACCATGCAAAACTCATCCGGAAACCTCCTGCCAACTTTGGCACCAGCTCAAAGTCACCTTGCCCCAAACCTTCAGCTCTGCTCCCCGGCTCACTCGGCAATTATTAATCGCTTTCTCCGTATTCCCGGCGTGAAAAAATGCCCCAGCGGGCGACCGTCCCCTGGCAGTCCGACGGCAGTCCGACATGCAGCTGGCCGGCAAGCTGGTCCTCTCCGCCGCCGCTCTGCTCCTCCTGACCTTGGCGTACAGGTTTTATAAATCCCGCTCGCTCGCTGGGGGTCAGATCCCACCGGTCCAGGCGGGAGGAGAGCAAAGGGAAAAAGTCACCGGGGATGGGGAGGATGCGGCGGGGG